GAGCTGGACACACCTGGCCCAAAGGCGGGAGAAGCCACAGCAAAGGGCCACAGGGCTCGAGGAGCTGCTCTGCCACCCCTGGGAGCCGCAGATGAGTGACAGCAGGAGTGCAAGGGCAGCCATCTCCCAAGTGCAAGGAGCAGGAGCGCTCCTTCCGTCCTGCCAGGGTGCTCACACACATCTTTACTGTGTCCCAGGTTAACTACGCATCTAAGGTGAAGTCAGACCACCATTGAGAAGACTGCCTATTTACTGAAGCCTGCCCAAACCTTAGAATTATTACATATGCCATAAATTTAGGTACTTACACATGCAATAAACTGTCCCACCCACATAGCAGGCAGCTCTGCAGAATGACATACTAGCACGGCGTCCTTACACTGTAGCAGTGATTCTTTGTGTCTCTTACTGACACGGTTGCCATGGCCTCCACTTTTTAAATCCCCTTGAGTGACAGGGCAAATGTTTTATTTCAGAGTGCCACAAACACTCAAAGCTGAAATCCACTGCCTAAATGGAGGAAAGGATTTCCAGATCTAGAAGATGTAGGACAATTTGCTGACATACAACCTCAAATCTGAAAACAACATAGAAACAAAAAGGTGACCAAGGAAAGATCAAGAGATTCAAAACATGATTTGAAATTGGAATCAGTGGATGGAGCTGAACTTGAGGACTACAAGGCAAATAAAAATGTTTGGGAAGGGATTCAGATGAGCAAGATGCAACCCAGACATCAGATGGAGAGAGAGGAGGAGGAAGGAAGTATACCTAAACAGCCAGATTGCTTCTCCCATGAATTCTTTTCACACAAGTTAATAGGAGAAAAAATTTTTTTAGAAAACTGGTACATTAAAATAATGATTATCTTATGATCTCATTGAAAAGGGAATGAAAATGCTGTGTTCACTATAGAATCACTGTAAGTGAAGAGAGCATTGTCAGCGTCAGGATGGACTGACAAAGGACAGCAAGCTGGATATTAGAGTTTTAAAAATGTAATATCAGGGACCTCTCTTGTGGTCCAATGGCTAAGGCTTCATGCTCCTTGATTGGGGAACTAGATGCTATATGTGGTAACTGAGACCCAGTGCACCCTAAATAAGTACATAAGTATTTTAAAAATCTAATATTAGATGTTGATGGGGTTTTAAAAGAAGAGTCAGGGTTGGATTAAGAATTAAAATCAAACAAGCTATTTTCCCTTCTGAGACTAGGAAGACCAAAGTAAAGCCTGGAGTGACTGACCCACTGGACTCAGGTGTGCTCAGGTGTGTTCAGGTATGAGGATGCTGACACCTTGGTAATATACCCTGAAGCAGGAGGGGAGGGTCTGACAGCTGACCCAGTGGTGGGCTGGCCTGTCTGCAGACTGCTGAGCACTTGACAGTAGACTGTTCCAACCACACTCTGAATTTGGAACTGGCTCCCTCTGATTTGATATCTAAAGAGGCCCTCCTAGCCAGCAGGATGTGGCAGAAGGGGTTCAGGAAGTGGTGACCCTGAGAGGTGAGTCCCACTGATTCTGGCAGTGATTCTCTGACATCTGCACCTAGGCTAGCAGCTGGGGAGTGTGGAAACCCAGAGGGCGCTTTCTGAAGGAGAAGATGGGCAAGCCCTGGGCAGAGGGTCAGGCAGGAAAGCAGAAAGCTAGGGCTCCACACAGAGGTGGCATGGTGTTACAGTAAAAGCAATGAACACGCTTTGTCCTGTGGTTTCTGACTTCCTGTGGTGGGGTATTTTTAAATCCCATCCCCCACTTTTTTATTATGAAGTATTTCATATATTTAAAACAGTATATAGTATATCTACATGACTGATATTCTGCCAGTCCTCATCATTAGTGTGGCTTTTGATTTGTGGCCTGTGGTCTCCCCACCAGGTCCTGGTTAATGCCAGCAGCTATTCTGATTGTTTGCTGTCCGAATCAGGCCACTGTCTGGTTGCTAGCTATTTTGATTGTTACTCCAGCATGTATCATGGAAAAAAAAAAACTGTGTAAACATCAGCAGAGGAAACAGAATAACAAAACATTTCAGAAGCATTTTTAATGGGTAAAGCATTTGCACCATTAAAAATCCAGAAAGCGTGAAAAGGCAGCAATCTTACCTCTCAGCTACCTCACCTCCAGTGTGAATCGTTTCTTGTGTATACTTCTGCAGATTTTATGTGTAAACAAAAAACTGGATAAATGTATTGCTTCATTTCTCACTGAGGGTAGTGTATAATACACAGTGCTCTGTTCCTTTTCTTCCAAACCTAACAGTTTATCCTGGAAATCTCTCCACTTCAGTGCATAAGCAACTTTCTTTCTTTCTTTTTTTTTTTTTCTAATTTCTATTGTAAAGAGCTGGGTAGGACTTCATGGTACAGTGGTGCTATAATCTCTATTGTAATTTATTTATTCTCCTACTGACGACATACAGGGCAATTTACTGGCTATTATAATGGATAACGTTGTACACACTCACTTCATAAATACACCAGTAAGGCAAATCCTAGAGGTGGAACTGCTGAGTTCAAGGGTATGTGCATAAGTGTTGTAATAACGTTTCACAGGAATGCAGATATAGCTGTAAAATAAAATCCCTGAGGGCAGAATTGCAGGATCAAAATGCATGGGTATTTAGATTGCAAGTATGTCTCACTTGGGGCTGTATAAGCAACATGCAAGTAATGGTGTAGTAACCAACTCCTGGCTCTGTTCCAACCTGGAAGCTGAAATCACTGTCTTAGGTAGTTTTATTTTACATTTCCTTCATTATGACTGAGGTTGAGTATTTTTTAAATATATTTAGGAGCATTTGTATTTCCTTTTCTGTCAAGTTCCTGTTTATACTCTTTTCCTATTTTTCCTTGGGATTGGCAGTGTTTTGATTGACTTTCAGGAGCTCTTGACATGAGAGAAGTTAACCCTATGTGATAGAAAATGCAGTTTGTTTTTTTTTTTTCCAGTTTGGTCATTTGTCTTCTGACTTACATGGAGTTTTGCCATGTGGGGAGGTTTTTCTTTTTTGGCAGGGCAACATTACTTTTGTCAACTTCAGTTACTCCGAGGACTGCACTAGTTCTGTGCTGACTCACTCAGCTGGGAAAAAAAAAAAAAGAAAGAAAGTTATTTATGCACTGAAGTAACAAGGGCAGTGGTTTGTTTCAAGGCTACACAGCCTGCGGCAGGCTGTTCCTGAAAGGGGCCAGGAAGTAAATAATTTAGATCTCTGTTGCAACAATTCAGTCCTGCTGCTGCAGAGTGAAAGCCTCTATCTTCATAAATGAAATGAGCAAGGCTGTGTGCTAATAAAACTTTATTGGCAAAAGTATATGGCAGGCTGGATTTGGCCCTTGAGCCCTAGTTTGCTGACCCCTGGCACAGGGGCAGTTAAGGTGCCTTCCTCGTCCAGTCTGTGAATCCAACTGGCGCTACATTCAGTCTTCCCCTCAGAGTCCCTCCCTGGCAGAAAGATTACTTCACTCCCTTCTCTTGCCTCCTGATGCTCCAGCTGCTCAGCGGAGACTTACTCATTTCCCAACCTCCGGGAACTTCTGGGTTCCGACCCAGAAGTCAGCTCCCCAGGCAGCTGTGGACAGCCAGGCACCCAACCAACGAGCCACTCCGCATAGACACCCTTCTATGGGTAACCGCATAGTTACCCTTCAGTAACTGAGAAGGGAGCCTCCAGGACGATGGCAAATGCTATTGAGGAATTTCTCTCGGTGGGACTTTCCCTCCAGCATAGCCCACCTTCAGCCGCCTCGACCGCGTCACACATGCGAGGCTTGCCCTCAGAAACGAGTTCTCCCATCTCTTCCATGCACAAGAAAACCTAATCATATACTGAATTGATAAGGAAAAGAGCATTAAGAAATCATACAGTTGTTTCAAGTGGCTACAGGAAAATCTTGCTTTGAAACTTTAGCTGCAATAGACTCTTCCTGGCTTTGGGTGGGACTCAGTCTTAAAGGAGGCCGCTTTGGAGGAAATGTGGTAACCTGGCTGGGTTCTCACCTTGTAAGAACCGAGGACCCTTGTGAGGGAGGGCTTTCCCGAGGAAGTAGCATTGAACTAAGCTAGAAAGGGTGGGGTGGGGGGAGGCAGAGGGGCATGGTGAAGGCGTGGGGGGTGGTGAGGGGTCAAAGGCTAGTGTGGCCAGAGGCAAGAGTAGCTGGAGCAGCAGGCGGGAGCAGCAGAGCCTTCCTCAAGGCTCTGCGTCTTAAATGCAGCTGTGGATGGACCCCACTGTAGAGGAAAGGGGCACAGAACTCTGGGACTCGGGGGACTGTAGGGGTGAGGGAGGGCTTTCCCGAGGAAGTGGCATTAAACTCAGCTCGGGAAAGATGGCAGTGGGCAACCGGGAAAGAGTGAAGTCATCAAATATGCATTTATAAAGATGCTGCTGGGGACTTCCCCGAGGTCCAGTGGTTGACCCCACATTCCCAATGTGGGGGTGGGGGGGCCCAGGTTTCGTCCCTGGTGGGGGAACTAGATCCCACATACTGCAACTGAAGATCTCACATGCCACAGCTAAAGATCCCCAATGCCACAACTAAGACCTGGTGCAGCCAAAGAAATAAATACAGAAACTATTTAAAAAATGAAGATGATGCCATCTGCCTTGTGGAAATGGATTAAAGGTTTGTTAAAGGTAGCAACCTGGAGCCTTTTGCTGTTGTTCAGGCAAGAGAGGCAGGGTAGGAGAGAGACAGAGGTGGGTATGCTTGAGAGATATGGAGGCTGGAGACTAATGCGGGGTGGAGGGCAGGGAGAGGGGTCTCCACTGATGACCCCCGGGGCTCGAATGGTGCCCAGTGGCTGGCTCTTAAAGCAAGATCCTGGGCCACTTCCAGACGGTGGGCGCCCTTACTCGGCATCTTCTACCTGCTTGAATCTGGGGGTGGATCCCTAGGGTCCTTCAGGTTTAAAGTGACTGACTTCCACCCGAGCCTCCCGCAGAGCAAGCTGCAGTCTGCTCACATCCTCCCTCTCATCTACACTTTTGTAGGCATCACCTGCCCGACTCCCACATCCGTGGAGCATGCAGACATCTGGGTCAAGAATTACAGCATCAACTCCAGGGAGCGGTATGTTTGTAATTCTGGCTTCAAGCGTAAAGCTGGGACCTCCAGCCTGACCCAGTGTGTGTTTAACGAGACGGCGAAAGTCGCCCACTGGACCACTCCCAACCTCAAGTGCATCAGTAAGTGGCTGCCCCAGCACTGTCCCTCCACCCCTTTTGCCACGGCCACGCAGAGAGCAGACCGCAGTACAGGCAGCTGACGAGGGAGCCTAGATGTCTGGGTTGAGGACTGAGGCTAAATAAACCAATGCGCTTCTAAACACACCTCAAAGAGGGGGAACTATGTGGGCTTTGGGGGTCACACAGTTCTGGGTTCAAATTCTGGCTCTGCCACATAACCATCCATGAGACCTTGGGCAAGGGCCTCAATGTCTTGGATCTCTTGGTTCCTCGTCAAGAAAATGGGCCTGATTCATCAGGTCCTTTCAACATGGGGGCTTGTAGGAGGAGTAAACAAACTCTGGTAAATATTAACTATTATTACCATCAGTGCTTTAGATCACAGAAGCAAGAACTGGGCTACAGACAGAGATGTTTGCTCACAGCACCTTGCTCCCTGGCGGGCTGCCCGATTCCTCCCCAGGGGACAGCCCACAGGGAAATCACTGCCCTTCCTCCTGTTGGCACCTGCCTGAGAGAAGTGGAGAGACCCATGGAGCAGAGACCTCCTGGTCCAGACATCATCTGGGATCCAGCCGGAGCTCCAGCCCAAGAATGAGGAGACATCTATGGAACTGCCCCACCTTTAAAGAGAAAAAAAATCCACAGCTGGATAACCATGCCAGGAGAAGTCAAAGAATCTTAGAGTGGAAGCCAGCAGTGTTATTTTCAGGAAGACTAAGCCCTGTACTCTAGAGAAGGAAGGAGCATAGCCTTCCAAGAGAAGGACGCGTTAAATAGTTACTGAACACATGGTGTGTGTCCAGGTGGGATACGATCTTACATAACATTTGTGGACAGTCTCAGCTGCTCTCCGGAGAAAGCAGACAAACGGGATTGTTCAAGAGCAGATTCATGGCGGGGGGACTCCTTGAAAAGCCAGTCTTCCTGTTAAATCTGTAGTGTTGAGATCACCCTGTGTCCCTGTCCCGCCGCCGCATGGCCACCGTGCAGGGCTCAGAGGCCAGGCAAGCCTTCTGCTTGTAGCAGAGGCATTGCTGGGCTGGGAACAGGGTGCCCACCGCATGGACCGTTGGGAGCATGGGAACGGGCTGGGTGAGGCCAGGTCTGAGCAGTAACTTTGGGGAGAGCACAGCTGTCTTCCTCAGTCTAGCCCAGGGACCCACTGCAACTGTAGCCCAGGGCAAAATTCAGGGCTTCCTACTGTAGAGAAAGTGGGCGTTTCCTCAATGTTCCAGTTCCTCTGGGTGAATGAATCAAGGATGTTGAACTGAACAGGGTGGGTTGCAGGGTGGGGCAGGGGGAATGAAAGATGGGGGTAAGCCTAGAATCATAGATGTTTAGAACTGAAGACTGGGGGAACCTTTAAGGCTTAGCCCCCAAAGCCCCACCTTTTACTACTAACCACTCCTTCCATGATCCCCAGCAACTTGTGCCAAAAACAGTCCATTGAGTAATCCTTTGTTTTCTCATGGAAAAGCCAGCATTAAAAAGCCTGAGTTGATATCATTGCTATCATTCTAGCCAAAGACAAGACACTTGCCACTGAACCTGTGCAGTCTGTTTGCTCTGCGAACTGCGGACCAACAGCTGTTTATCTTGTGTGTGTCTGGCTAGGCCTGGGTGGCCAAATGTGTCCACTTTAAATTATAAACATATTGTTTATTTAAATTATACATTTATTATTATTTTTCTTTTATCTACATCCAGTTCTGAAGCCACCCCAGGTTCCACCCTCGGGATCATAAATGCCGTGTGGTTATCCTCTCTCTAGGAGACCCCTCCCTGAGTCACCAAAGGCCACCCTCCACAGCAGCGCCGACAGGGTTGACCCCAGAGCCAGAGAGCCCCACCCCCTCCGGAAAAGGTAGGAATGCCGCAGACTCTCTCAGGAACCCCATTCCCAGCTGCCCTCAGGTCCACAGAGAGCCTGCAGATCCATGGGCCACTGCCAGGGTTCCACCGCAAACACCCCTTATTCATGTCAAGGATAAGAGTTGACATTAGCTTCATTTTCTCTTTTCAACCGAAGTTGCCTGACAGCCAGGCTTCATGGGTGCAGAATTCACAATGGTTTAAAATCCACTCTTACTAGGCCGAATCACACCTTGTTTCAGATGCATAGCTTCAAGAATGAGGGGGGTGGGGAACAGGGAGCTGAGGTTCTGCCCACCTTGCATATCAGCCTTCCTGGGCCTCATGGGCACTGGCAAAAAACCGGACCCTCCTGGATCAGAGATGGAGGACTCTCTTACTTGGCACTGCAGGCAGCAGGGCCACTGGCAGATTTTATCAAGTCCCTTGTCCCCACATGCCTTAAACAGGCCTAAGCCGGTACCCGTGTGGGCGGCGGACATCCCTAGAGAGGAGGGAACCTGAGCAGGAGCCTGATGTTTTACTGTTGGTGTGAACACATCTGCCCTGTGCTCCAGGGGGAGGTGCTGTCTCCACCTGCCAAGGCCATCTAAGCATCCTAGAAAAGATGGCGCCTCCGGTGGCAAGATGTGCAGAACCAGGAGAGACCCAGGCACACCATCTCCCAACAACCCTACCCATGGTTGTTTTGGTACAGACACTTGCACAAAGCTGCCAGGGTTCTGCATGTTGACCAAGTCTTAGGCAAACTCTACCCTAGTTTCCTCTGCTCTGTTAAGAAAATCTGAGCTCTTGGATGCAAAATATCCTGGGAAGACGTGCCCTGTGTCTTCTGACATCCTCTCTTGACCCCTGTCTCTGTGACCCATTACCCAGTGTGAGGTTTTTATTTATTTTTTATTTATTTTGGCTGTGTTGGGTCTTTGTTGATGCTTAGGCTTTTCTCTAGCTGCGGCGAGCAAGGGCTATGCTAGAGTTGTGGTGCATGGGTTTCTCATTGCTGTGGCTTCTCTTGCTGTGGCAGCACAGGCTCCAGGCGCCCAGGCTTCAGAAGTTGCAGCTCGTGGATCAGGAGCTGTGGCTCGAGGGCTCTAGCACACTGGCTCACTAGTTGTGGCATCACTAGTTGTGGTTTAGTTGCCCTGCAGCATGTGGGAGCTTCCTGGGCCGGGGATCAAACCTGCGTCTCCTGCATCAGCAGCAGGCTTCTTTACCACTGAGCCATCAGGGAAGCCTCAGTGCCAGGCTTCTCCTGGCCCCGTCTCCTCCTTTCCCTCCAGGCGCAGCCATCCCATGGTGGTTGACAGCGCTTCTCGGGCTGCCTCCCTCGAGAGCCAGTTCTTAAGTGAGGATGCTCACTGAGATCTTCTGGAACTCTGGGTGGTCTGGGGAGTGCCTAGTTACTGGAGTTCCAGAAGCTCTCCTGGGACCCTCAGGGGGACACAGCTGAGAACCATCGCTGAAGGAAAGGTGGCGGGGTGGAGTAAGGGTTTCCTCCCAGTTACTGAGCTGATGACAAATGGAAGGAAGAGGCTGGGGTGTCCACAACCCCTTTGACCCAAGTCACAGCTGGCTCGAGGGACCTCCCTCAGCCTGGCCTTCGTGCCCCAAGCATTTGGCAGATTTCAGCTGCGCAGGGAAATCTCCAGTGTGAGTGTAACCTCCAGGGTGGGTGCCGGGGCCAGGAGCACCTCATGGGCCTGCTCCGGGTCAGGGGGAGCATGGTCTGCAGAGCGCCTGGGCCCTACGAGGTGCTGACAGAGGGTGAAAGGGCATGATGACTCCTCTGGCACACGTGCCTGGGAAAGCGTGGGGCAGAGGCCCTAACAGGGGGCCGGATAGCCCAGGATGTGTGATCACAGCTTCTGTTCCAAGGCTGGGCTCATCAGGACTGTATTATCACACTGGAAGACCCACTCACCACGGAAACAGAACAGCAGGGTTATGCTATTGCACCCTATGGGTTGCAGCAGCTGCTGGCCAGTGAGGGATGGGAGGTCAAGGACCTCAATACATGGCAGGCGGCTCAGCCTCTTCCCAGAGATGGGCGCCGAGCCAAGATGCATCTCTCAGGTCCACTCTGTAAAGGTCAGGTGGGCTGAATCCCAGGTTCCCCTTATTTCAACAGTTTTGTGCCAATATGTAAAAAGTAAACCAAAATTAGCATCCTGATGTCTTTGGCAAGTACAGTTCCACTTTTCTTAATTATTTTTGTTCATTTATTTTTTGGTTGCACTAGTTTTTTGTTGCGGTGCTCAGGCTTCTCACTGCCGGGGCTCCCCTTATTGCAGAGCATGGGCTCAGTAGTCGAGGCTGGTGGGCTCTGGAACACAGCCTCAGCAGTTGTGGTGCACTGGCTTCGTTGCTCCACAACATGAGGGATCTTCCCAGACCAGGGGTCGAACCCCCTCTTCACTGCATTGGCAGGTGGATACTTATCCAATGGACAACCAGGGAAATCCTCAGTTCCACTTGTTTGTCTGAACTGGGTCTCCTGGTAACCACTTCTCCAGTGCCTGATTCTACTCAGATCTTTGAGATCGTTAGCTTATGTGGCCCATGATAAATAGTCATAAATCCACTAGTGTCCACAAAAGCCTCTTGGCCATTCGGAACAGACAAAGATGTTACCCACTCAAGGGCTCTTCCCCCAGAGCTGTGGAGGAGTTTCCTGGGAGAGGACTGGCTGGGGTGGGCTCACGGGAAAAGGTGTTGGTCCATTCTCTTCTGAAGCTGAGAAAAGACACTGTTCTCAATTTTTCACTGTCCATGTCTTGCACTCCCCTGCAGAGCCAGATCTTACTTCCACGTCAGACACCAAAGTGGCCACAAGGCCAGCTACTGGACCAGGCTCCAGGTTGCCATCCACAGCCCCTCCTGTGGGAACCACAGGGCTAGTCAGTAAGGAGACCACCTGCGTCCCAGCTCAGACAGCAGCCAAGGCTCTGGAACACACACACCCGGCCTTGCAGGACACGCCCGGTTAGTGCTGGCTTCACCTGCTGGAGGAGAGCGCAACTCCCAGGGGCTGCTTCTGAGACGTGGATGCAGATCCAGAGTAGGCCGATCCCATCACACCATCCAATCCAAAATCGGGACGACTATGTGACCCTCTGCCTCCTGCTCTCTGTCACAGCCTTCTCCCTCCAGCATGTGTTCTATGCTCCACCCTGCTTCAGCCGGAAGAGAACTGTCTCCCCCCATATTAAGCTGCATGGCAAAGCCTTTGCTGCGAATCTGATTAAGATCTGCCTCCTCCTGACATGGGAGGAGGAAGCTTTCTGCCATCTGGAATCATGGTGTGAGGGATGGGGGCACGCTCGCTGGGTAATCTGCATGTTCTGTAAATGCGCCTCTGATTCCTAAGCATGGCTCAGCATGGAAACAAATGATCCTGGTTCGGTGCTAAAGTGAGTCTGATTTTGCCGGTGGTGAATCTCTCAGGGCTTTAAGATGAGAGCCAAACCGTCCAGGAGTTCTCCTGCTTAGAGAAATGAGTGCCTTCAGGACCGGGCAGTGACAGCTGTACTCTCTTCCCTGCAGGTGCATATCAGTACAACCCCAGAGTTGTGACCGGTGAGTATTCTCCTTCGTCCTTTGTAATTATATTTTATCTGCATCAAGTGGTGGTGTCTGTGTTCAGGGGATCTCAGTGCCGGGGTGCTGGTTGGTCCTGACTTACGCCTGCTGGTCCAGTGTGGCCACCAACAGCTGCCCCTTTCACTCCGTGTAGATGAGTCACATGACTGCGCTGTTTAGTGTTTGCAGAATTCTAAGTTGGCTATTTATCTTAATGTTGGTAGGTTCTCACTGTCAGGCGATTGGTACAGAAGCCAGGGTTGGGGCATCCCAGGGCCCCCTCGTGCAGCTCTTCAGGCCGACTAAGTGGGGGCTAGACTGTCATTCAGGACCCACTGGAAAACCAGTTAACATCATTAAATGATTTTCTGCCACGAGACGCATTTATCTTTCACAGGGAGTTAACACTATATACTCAACAGCGAGAAGTTCGTGTTCTTGGTATAAAAGGAATCTTTACAGAAGACACATGACTTTAAGGCTGGGAGAGAGAGAAAGTCCCAGAGAGTTTAAGGAGGAAAATGGAAAAGTGCTTGCAAGAATGAAAGAAAAAGAGTAAGGGAAGAGAGAGAGAAAAAAGGAGAGGGGAGGAAACAGAAGCAGGGAGAAATGCAAGGAAACAGAAGCAGGGAGAAATGCAAGTTTTCAATGAGGAAAAAAAAAACACTATAATTTCAAAGCAGGCAAAAATTAATTTCTAATTTCTATTCATACATTTCCCAGCTAGAGAATGATTCAAGTTTTTGCAGTCATATTTCATCTGCATCAATTGTATTCTGGGAAAAAACCAAGTGGCTTTGGTCGTTTCTGCATTCAGTTGATTAGAATGGTTTTAAGAATGATCAAAGCATATGCCAATGCAAGATATTTTTAAAAGGCTCTCTGGAGAGTGTTTTCATGGAAAAACTGTGGCATTTAATGACAACGACGTTGAAACAAAAGTATGTTCATCATTTAAGAGGTGGCCAATAAATAAGAGAGCTGGCCAAATTTCTCTCCTTGTGTCATGTATTACATTAATCTTTCTACAGACTTCTACATTTTTTTAGTCATTTTCTTGAACTGTTAATATTTTCCCAGGGCTTAACAATTAAAAGTTTCAAAAGGCTGTATGGTAAAAAGCCCATCTCTGGCTGAAAGTCCCCTTGCAGGCAGGCAGGAACTCCTGCTACCAGATTTCAGGGTATCCTTCAGAGAGAGTCAACCTGTAAATAGCATGTAGAAGATACATGATATAGTTAAGCATGCTATTTTCACTATTCTGCACCTTGTCTTCACCTAATGGTATATCTTGGAAATTTTTTCATATCAATAGATAAAAAAACCACCTCATTCTTTCCAGCAGCTCAGGATATTCTATTATATGGATTTGCCACAATTTATCTAGCCAAAACCCCTACTGGGCCTTGGGGTTCCTTACATTCTTGGGCTACATAACAAAGGAGGACTAATTGGAAAACCTTGTATCACTTTGCATATGTGCAAGTATGGTGGTGGTGCTGGTTTAGTCACTAAGCCATGTCTGACTTTTGTGACCCCATGGACAGTAGCCCACCAGGCTCCTCTGTCCATGAGATTTCCCAGGCAAGAATACTGAACTGGTTTGCCATTTCCTCCTCCACAGGATCTTCCCAACCCAGGGACTGAACCCCCAGTCTCTTGCATCTCCTGCATTGGCAGGTGGAGTCTTTACCACTGAGCCACCTGGGAAGCCCATGTACAAATATAACTGAAAGAAAAAATCCTACAAAATTTCAGGGCCATTTTTTTCCAATGTGGATTTCCAAACTATTTTATTATGAGAACTAATCTGTACTTTTTTCCAGGTTATGACTTTCACTAGATTAAAAGACACTTACTCCTTGGAAGGAAAGTTATGACCAACCTAGACAGCATATTAAAAAGCAGAGACATTACTTTGTCAACAAAGGTCCGTCTAGTCAAGGCTATGGTTTTTCCAGTGGTCATGTATGGATGTGAGAGTTGGACTATAAAGAAAGCTGAGCACCAAAGAATTGATGCTTTTGAACTGTGGTGTTGGAGAAAAACTCTTGAGAGTCTCTTGGACTTCAACCAGTCCATCCTAAGGGAGATCAGTCCTGGGTGTTCATTGGAAGGACTGATGTTGAAGCTGAAACTCCAATAATTTGGCCACCTGATGCGAAAAGCTGACTCATTTGAAAAGACCCTGATGCTGGGAAAGATTGAGGGCAGGAGGAGAAGGTGACGACAGAGGATGAGATGGTTGGATGGCATCACCGACTCGATGGACATGGGTTTGGGTAGACTCCGGCAGTTGGTGATGGACAGGGAGGCCTGGCGTGCTGCGGTTCATGGGGTTGCAAAGAGTCAGACATGACTGAGCGACTGAACTGAACTGAACCAGATTAAAATATCAAAAATTCTCTCCTTTATTCTAAAATGCCAGATAATAAACATGAACTGAACACCTACAATAGACAAAGATAGTTCTGTGCAAGGAACTGTGGAAATACAGAGCTTTAAAAAACTTTAAATCTTTTATGTGGCATGAATAAGATTTCTTTCTTCCAGACGGCTTAGTGTAAACATGTTAACACTAACTATAAGACAGGCCAAGTCAGCAAAGACATGAAAATAAGATCCATTTAAGTTTTATCAGCTAAGGAGATAGGAGTTAAAACTAAAACCCTGCTAGGGTTGTCTAGAAACACTTAGTGATGGACAGTTTCTCCAAAGTATGTCTGTTACACACAATCTCAGCCACCTGGGAGCTAGGAGTGTGTCCCGCTGGATACAAGAGGCAGTGGCTCTCATGACACCTCAGGCGTTGGTAGGGGCTCCTATTTCTGCAGGAATAAGCCACTGATTGATCGTCCTTGGAAGATGATATAAATAATGCTTTCCCAAAGCAGTTGCTCAGCAGATATTAATGTAATGTTTAAATCAGTCCACTGGTAATACCAATATCAGTTCTAAAATAAATTATGTAAGTGATTATCATGACTTTTATGTATCTAAAAATTTTTTTTTGATGTGGACCGTTTTTAAAGTCTTTATTGAATTTGTTACAATATTGCTTCTGTTTTATGTTTTGGGTTTTTGGCCCCCGGGTATGTGGGGTCTTAGTCCCCCAACCAGTGATTGAACCTGCACCCCTTGTACTGGAAGGGGAAGTCTTAACCCCTGGACTGCCAGGGAAGTCTCTTTCACAACTTTTAAAAAGTGGCTCTTTCAGTGCAGCAAATGGTAAATAGTAGATGTTGCATAAGTGAGTGAGAAAATACTCATTGGAGTTTAAGGGCTCTAACATTATAATACATATTGAGGGAAATGGTCCTCATTTCACTGTCTTCTATATCTATGCACTCACTTGGCAGCTTTTCTTTTTTTAAATCAATAACCTTATTCGATTATTCCAATGTCTTGTCTCTGCTCCTTACCTAGGCTATTTTTGAAGATTCCTGGTTGTGAAATAAAAAGATAGAATGTCAGCTATGCCAGCGTTTACACTGCCATGTCCATTTAGTACACCCGAGGGGAAGGGTTCATCTTTCAGACTATATTATACCTTCATCTTTCAGAGCAGAAGTACATCTGCTGTAGTTTACATGCTCAGCCTTTAAAGGGAGCTACCTCTATATCATATCATTTGTCTGTTCAAATGATACAAATTGAGCTCCTATCCTGTGCCAGACATGGTCCTAAGCTGCAACAACATACAGATTTCTCATTAAAAAGCAAATGGCACTTTACATGTCCTTCAGCTGCAGTTCAGTCGCTCAGTTGTGTCCAACTCTTTGTGACCCCATGGACTGCAGCATGCCAAGCTTCCTTGTCCTTCACTATCTCCCAGAGATTGCTCAAATTCATGTCCATTGAATCGGTGATGCTATCCAACCATCTCATCCTCTGTCGTCCCCTTCTCCTCCAACCTTCAACCTTTCCCAATATCAGGGTCTTTTCCAATGAGTTGACTCTTCTCATTAGGTGGCCAAAGTACTGGAGCTTCAGCTTCAACATCAGTTCTTCCAATGAATACTCAGGGTTGATTTCCTTTAGAATTGACTGGTTTGATCTCCTTACAATCCAAAGGACTCTGAAGAGTCTTCTCCAACACCACAGTTCAAAAGCATCAATTCTTCAGCGCTCAGTTTTTTTATGGTCCACACATCCACACATGACTACTGGAAAAACCATAGCTTTGACTAGACAGACCTTTGTCAGCAAAGTGATATCTCTGCTTTTCAATATGCTGTCTAGGTTGGTCATAGCTTTTCTTCCAAGGAGCAACACTTTTTAATTTCATAGCTGCAGTTACCATCCACAGTAACTGTCAGGCCCAAGAAAATAAAGTCTGTCACTGTTTCCATTTTTTCTCCATCTATTTGCCACAAAGTTATGGGACCAGATGCCATGATCTTAGTTTTTGGAATGTTGAGTTTTAAGTAAGCCTTTTCACTTTCCTCTTTCACCTTCATCAAGAGGCTCTTTGGTTCCTCTTTGCTTTCTGCCATAAGGGTAGTGCTATCTGCATATCTGAGGTTATTGATATTTCTCCCGGCAATCTTGATTCCAGCTTGTGCTTCATCCAGCCTAGCATTTCACATGATGTACTCAGCATATAAGTTAAATAAGTAGGGTGACAATATACAGCCTTGATGTGCTCCTTTTCCTATTTGGAACCAGTCTGTTGTTCCATGTCTGGTTCTAACTGTTGCATCTGGACCTGCATATAGGTTTCTCAGGAGGCAGGTAAGGTGGTCTGGTATTTCCATCTCTTGAAGAATTTTTCACAGTTTGTTGTGATCCACATGGTCAAAGGCTTTGGCATAGTCAATGAAGCAGAAATAGATGTTATTCTGAAATTCTCTTGCTTTTTCTATGATCCAGTGGATGCTGGCAATCAGAACTCTGGTTCCTCTGCCTTTTCTAAATCCAACTTGTACATCTGGAAGTTCTTGTTCATGTACTGCTGAAACCCAGCTTGCAGGATTTTGAGCATTACCTTGCTAGCATGTGCAATGAGTGCAATTGTGCAGTAGTTTGAACATTCTTTGGCATTGCCCTTCTTTGGGATTGGAATGAAAACTGACCTTTTCCAGTTCTTTAGCTTGCAGAAGATTAATGGTTTAATTCCATCAATTAAGTATTTATTGATTACCCACTCTGAACCCAGCATTTCCTATGTGCTCAGTACAGAAAGACACAAAAGAGAAACCATTGCCAGGGAATAAGGAGTTGATGTTCTCATTTCAGAACTGCCTTCAGCCAATGCAGGCACACAGCATATCAGATACCCTACCCTCTGACTGAGCTAATTTGCAGGGACTGCCAAGAAATGATGATTTCTTGGATCTGCACAGATAACACTTTTTAAAAACTGAAGTATAGTTGATTTACAACATTATGTTAGTTTCAGGTGTGCAGTATTTTTGCAGATTATACTCCATTCATGCTATTACAAGATAATTGTAAGTCCTTCTGCTGTACAGTATATCCTTATTGCTCATCCATTTTGTGTATGGTGGTTTATATCTGCTAATCCCCTATCTCTAATTTGCCCCTCTCCCTTCCGTCTTTCCTTCAGGAACCACAGGTTCGTTTTCTCTGTGTCTGTTCCTGTTTTACATATACATTCATTTGTATTGTTTGTTAGATTCCACATATAAGTGATATCATACAGTATTTCTCTTTCTCTGACCTATTTCACTGAGCATAATATACTCTAGGCCCATCCACACTGCTGCAAATGATAGAATTTCATTCTTTTTAATGGCTGAGCAATATTACATTGTACGTAAACACCACCTCTTTATCCATTCATCCCTTCATGGACAATGGGTTGTTTCCATGTCTTGACTTGGAAGATGGTACTGCTATGAACACTGGGGTGCACATATCTTTTCAAATTAGTATTACCTGTAGACTTGTTGATGGTGGCCATTCTGACTGGCATGAGGTGGTACCTCACTATGGTTACAGAGGACTCCTTCACCCACATGGAACACAGTCCACCAGCCACCTCGGCTGCCTTCTCCACTGTAGACCCAGTATCACCATAGGCTGAAGGCAAGGCAGGGGCTCCTGGCCCTTCTGGTCTCCTGTGCAATAATCTTTCTTCTCCTTCCTCTCTCAAGCTAATCCTCCTCCCTTCTCTGTCTCATCAAATCTCTTTTCCTTATTCTCCAACCCATGCACCCTGCTAGGAAACACAAAAGGGTGGAAACCATGACAGTCAATGCATTAATCCATTCTTTTGGCAATTCTGGTTTCAATTTCTTCACTAAATTTGGTGATTCTTGTTTCAATTTCTTTACTACATTTGCCTGGAAATAACTGGGGAAGGAACCAAGTGTCTGAGTTCCAGGGGCTGAATTTAAATTGCTTTGTTATATCATTGGCTCAGGACCGCTCTTTGCCCTTGAGTCTGAGTCGCAGCTTCTATTCTCAGTAAGAAACAGGAAGCAGCGTTGTGAAAGTGGAACTAGAGTGAACCTCAGCTCGCCTTTTCCAATAAATCTCTCCGTGAACAGTAAATGCATGCCAATCTGATTAGTCAATGTGAAGGAATAGTTTCCTGGAGGGTACAACATCTCTGCTAAGAAATTTGTCTTTTAGTCATAATGATGATTAATGTTAAATCTAGAAACTCAAGAACAACGTTCACTAATTTCTCATGTTTTCTCTTACCTCTTTTGGAATAGCTTTTCTAAGTTTTATTTACTTAGGTAAATAAAAGTAGTCTTGTTTTTGTAAATTTAGTGTCTCTTCTGATTAGAGCGTCATTGCAAAAAGATCGGGGGGGGGGGGTGGAAACTTTTTAAAAAAGAAAATAAAGTTATCTACAAGCCCAAAGAATTACTTAATACTTCGCATGTATTCTTCAAGACTATTTTGTGTATATGGACACACACATGGCTTACTGGAAATTCTTTTATTCATTTTTATCTCAACCAGCTTTTTCACTTAAGACTTTGTAGACATCTTTCTGTGTTAACAAATGTAGATTTCAAAGTTTTGAAAAGCTGAATAATACTCCATTGTACGGGTATGCCACATTTCATTTAACTGTCTACTGATAAGAGATTTAGATTAACCTTTTAAAATTTATTTTAAACAATGCTTTAGTGACTACTCCTGTGTATACATTCCCATTTTCTTAGAATACATTTCTAGAAGTGAAATTAGAGTCAAAACGAATGGTCTTCTCTCAAGTTTCCATTACATGTTGCCCGTTTCCTCTCCTATCCTGCAGAAATCTGGGTATGTTTCCTCATCTTATCTCTAGCTGTTTTTGAGGACAGTTCTAGTTTAAGGCCAAGTCCTTGCACACACGAGTGTGGCTGTCTGTCTAGGTGCAGGTCTGAAAAGCTCAAGGCTCCAGGTGATCAATATGCCTCCTGGGCCACAGTGAGACTCCTGGGTCCGCAGTTGTTCAGGTTATCATCTTAAAATTTTTTAAATTTAGTTTATTTTTGGCTATGATGTGTCTTCATTCATGTGTGGACCTTTCTCTAGTTGCAGTGCTCTGGCTTCTCGTTGCAGTGGCTTTCCCCCTCATGGAGCATGGGCTCTCGGACCTGAGGGCTTCAGTAGCTGTGACTCCTGGGCTCTAGAGCACAGGCTCAGTAGTTGTGATACTTGGGCCCAGGTGCTCCGCAGCAAGTGGGATGTTCCCAGACCAAGGATCAAACCCATGTCTCCTGCATTAGCAAGTGAATTCTTTACCTCTGAGTCACCAGGGAAGCCCCAGGTTGTCATCTTAGATGCAGGGCACGTTGGTGATTTTTGCAGGGAGATTTCACAATATTAAGGCAAACTGGCCAAATCTGCTGGGAGCTTCTGACTGATACAAGTGTTTTAAAAATAGTACTGTTTCACCTGCCCCTGGGCCCAGCCCTCTTGCTTCCACATGAAGGTCCCACCCTCCCTAACAACTCCCAAACCACCACTGTGGCTGTGTTGGCGGGAAAGGAGGGTCCTCTCTGCCCTGATGTAGAACAGACAGAACAGCGTGGATCTCAGGATCTGTTAGTAACTGTGAGCTGGTTGGGAAGACATCTGGATCTCTCTGCAGAAGTGTAAACTGTACAGGACTTTCAGGCTCGGGAATGCTGGGACTTTGAGCAGGATGCCAGCTCATTCTGCTCTCTTTCCAGCAGCCGTCTCCATACCTGTCACCGTGCTCTTTGTAGCGTGCCTGCTATTTCTTCTGGTACGTTGCCGCCTGAGGTCAAGGTGAGTAGCACAGGAGACCCTCGCTGGACAACATGCTTCCTCCCCCAACATCAGGGCTGCATCTGATGACCCAGGTCTGCCCTTGCCAAGGAAGACCCTGTCCTGGCTGGAGGTGTGGGTGCTCCCACCCACTCTGTACTGGGCAAAAGGTGTGTCCAGGCCAAGTGGTCACTGAGTCAGGCCTGTTCCCTTCACTGTCCAAAGGCAGCCAGCAGGTCATGGTCAGAATCCGGGCAGCCAGAAATCAATGGACGGCATGGGGCCAATTCACCAAAAGCCAATTCAGAAGGAAAGAATGTGCCAAGTAACCAATTTGATGGACGTGAAATTTGTATGATATATTTACTGATTGTTCTTCTTGAATGTACTTGTTAAATACGGACACACGTCCCCATAAATAGGCTCATACGTGTTGGCCTTGGCATTTCTAATACTAGGAATTCTTTATTTCAGCATTGCTGGCAAGACTGTTTCTGCCACTTGCTGAAATTTCAGCTTTTATTTTTCTAATCTTTAGGCATTTTTACCATTCCTTCATAAAAGCCTCAAATAGCATATTAGCCTTGACTCGGTACTTCCATCAGCTGATAGCCAGTATTTTACCATTCCATAGTGATATGGCTGTTCCAGACATATCAGGTGTGTTGAAACTAAACTTTTTATCACTAGTCACAAAAATTTCTTCCTAAATATTATATCAATATAAAGATTATACCATTCTTCGAGCCTAACTTTGACAAAATGGATATTCCATGAAATGGCACTGCAAAGCCAAAATGGAAAACAGCCATCAAAATATTCACACACATCTTCAAAAGTTATTAATATCACCCTAACCAAAAAGAAATGCCATAAACTTCATAGTCTAGAAATCAAGAAAAGGCTGATATTTTACTTAAAAATTCATCAAAAAATCCCCCTAAATGCTAAAATATTTGCGAAATAGAAAATTACTTTTAAAAGGATTTTAAGAATACCATTACAGTTAAATAATTTCTACATAAAATGCATTTAGAATTATTCTTAGGAGATGTAATTAGAATATATTCATTGACGATATTAAAAAAGAATAAATACACAATCTTTTTAAAGAAGACATTAAAAATATATTCTTAAAAAGAATTTGTAAATTTTATAAGTATGGCCAATAAATATGCTCCTAAAAGGAATACATCAGTATTCACTGACTGTATTTATGGTAGTGCTCATGAATGTATCTTTAAGAACCGGTAAACATGATGAACATTGCTACTTGGCCGTGTGGTGAGCTGATTCTTTCCGTAAACTGATTAATTTGCAAATGGGTTATTAGGTAGATTAGTGATTCAACAAATTGGGTTTTAGAAAATTGTTTTTGTAAACTGGCCTAGAGTTCTGATTTATAGTTTAGGCCTCGCTCCAAGGAGCTCAGGTGTTGACTCTACAATGTCCTGAAAATTGCTTCTTCTCAGGGGGCAGACTGTGTAATCCACAGGTCTGCATACTCAGGACCTAAAACACACATCCAGTGACAGGTGGGGAGGCGTGGGATTAAGATTCTCTGCATCCCCTACTCCTGGCTTCTCAAGGACTGATTAAACTGATATTTGTTTATATATTTAACACTTACTAAATAAATGTCAGGGCTTCCCTGGTGGCTCAGATGGTAAAGTCTCTGCGTACAACGCGGGAGACCTCGGTTCAATCCCTGGGTCAGGAAGACCCCCTGGAGAAGGAACTGGCAACCCACTCCAGTACCCTTGCCTGGAAAGTCCAATGGACAGCGGAGCCCTGTAGGCTACAGCCCGTGGGGTCGCAGAGAGTCGGACATGACTGAGTGAGCTTTATAACCGTCACATTAGTTTTATCAGGACTGTCAGTGCTGGCCTGGCCAGGCTCCTCGTCACTCACTCCTCCCATGGCACCTGGCACTGGAACCACTGCCTTTTGGCAGGGGGTTGGCAAGGTGGGGGGAGCTGCCCCCACAGTGCTGGTAAAACTCAGTGGACAAAGGGTGAAAGCCAAAATAAGATCTAAGGACCACCTGTGAGTGGAGGTAGTCCAGGTGCTCTCCATCAGAGTGTCCGAAAGGAACTGTTTGTTGACACAATCTCTCCTTTGGCAATTATCCTGCTTTCTAGGCAAGCCCACCAGACACCCGGTGTTGAGATGGAGAGCATGGAGAGTGTGCCGATGACCACGGGGGCAGATGCCAGAGGGGAGGACACGGAAATCCACCTGCATGGCCTAGGAGGTTCCGGGGACGCTGAGGCCAGCAGAGGCCGCAGTGAAGGCCCAGCTCTTCTCCAGCCAGAGAGGACCTAGGGAAGACTTGGGGCGCTGGCCCCAGGGGACAGCCCCGAGGGTGAGGAAACATCCACATATCATTTTACCGACTGCCCAGCTCAAGCACCACCCTTACCAGTGGGTTCTCTGGGCTCAGGACAGATGCCCGCTGTCTGCCTGCCTTGCCTGCCCGCCCTGGGCGTAAGGCCCAGTTCTCAAAGTCCCAGCCGTCAACGGTTACCCGGGAGGGAGTGAAGCCCTCAGGGTTTCCTATCAGGGCTTTTATTTCATCGTGACATTTATTCAGGACAGCTTGTTCACTCGATTCAACCCCATTCCTCATCCTGATCTGCAGGTTACAAAGAAAAGAAACACACCCGAGGCTCCACGTGAACTACAAGACTCCTCCCAGATTGGGAGGTGTTAACAAGGATGACACCAGCATTTCAGCTTGTAAAACCTTCTCTCGGCCAGGTGCTCTGCGTGCATGGAAAAGGAGCAGAGAGAGACTGTGCCTCGTGGATCCTCTAGATTTAAGGATTCAGAAAGAAGAAAACTTAACTTGCTGATGTTTTTCTATAGATGTGCATTTATATTTATATCCGTCTTTTATATCTGCATATTATAAGATTTGTATTTTGAAATTGTTACTTGTACAAACAATATAAAATGTCTATTTTCTATATATATATATATATATATAAAAGATTGCATTGAAAGAATCACTGATGAGAAATGTACCACAAAGAAGAAAAGGAGATCAGGAATGCAGAGTCCCACATGACTGAGGTCAGCTTTTCTCTCTGAAAGGAGGAAAAAAGCCTTGCCGGCAGCCGAGTCAGGAGGTGGCTTTGGAGAATTTCTGGTAGCGTTTCCACATGAGAAGCACGTGCGTGTCTGCTGCACACGCTGTCCCTCTGTTGTTTTCTTTCCTTCTTTGATGTTTATGTTTGTTTATGAAATCATGGGCCTTGTCCCAGCTCTTCATTTTACAGATGGGAAAACTGAGACCTAGAGAAGTGACTTGCCCATTTACTCATGCAGAGTCTGCACAGAGTCAGGATGGGGGCAGGTACAGGGGCGGGACTGTAAACCAGGTGTCAGCCGCCCCATCAAACAGCCAGGGTAGCCGGGAGGGGAGGTGGAATGTGGGCAGAGCAACCAGTTCACCTGCTGCGCGGGCTCTCAGAGTGCTCTTTCTTGTGAATTTCTTCAGGTCATGAATTTAGATGCCTTCATCAGGGCCGGTGCATTGGGATGACCCTGAGAGATGGGATGGGGAGGGAAGTGGGAGGGGGGTTTCAGGATGGGGAACACACGTACATCCAAGGCTGATTCAGGTCAATATATGGCAAAAACCACTACAATATTGTAAAGTAATTAGCCTCCAATTAAAATAAATTAATTAATTTTTAAAAAAGAGTGAAGGAAGAAAGAGTAGGAATTCTAAATAGCTGGTGTTGGAGATTTCAGAGATGTACCATTTTTACTGTCTCTTTCAACGAGCAGGAAACACTGCTAACACTTAAGGTGAGCCTTACGTACACTTGGTTATCCAGTTATCCTTACATACCCTAGTTATCTACACTTTTTTTGCTTCTCTCTACAGCTGTTTGTCCCTAAGTTTCTAGAGTTTATTAACTGGATCCAGTTTGTTCTTTACAAGAATTTTTAAGTGTATGACTCTTGTTATTTTTAAAACTTATTTAACAGGAACAACATCAACAAAAAGGCACATGTTCAGTGGAGCCAGGGATTTGAAAGGTTTCTGTGGGATGGAAGAGGGCTGGGTCACTGGGCTAGCTCATGGATTTATGGTTCAAATTCACATCACCTTGGGGAGAGTGAGTGATATGATGCTGTGGAATCACCTGGCTCAGGTCCAGCACAAAGTCTGCCATTCACCAAGCACCAACCAGGTTCAAGTTCGGTGAATTATATGTCAAAAGTTAGATCTAGACATAGCAGCAAGCAGGGCTGGGTGGAGTTGAGGTCTAAAAGGACTAAGAGGAACATATGTAAATCCATGACTGATTCATGTCAATGTATGGCAAAAACCACTACAATATTGTAAAGTAATTAGCCTCCAACTAATAAAAACAAATGGGAAAAAAAAAAAAAAAGGACCAAGAGGGCTTGGGTGGGGACAAATCACTCACTCACTCAATCAGGGCTTTTTTTTTTTTTAATCCAAGGGATAAAATGAATTCTTTTACCAGGTGGTGCAGTCCTTCTACGGAAAGATTTAAATAACCTCTATGATGCCAAAACATACCAAGGCCCCAGAATGCACCCATCAAGCAGAGAACATCTTGGAAAGAACTGTGTGTTCTTCTTTGAATTCTCTCAGAGACTGATGCATTGCCCTGAAGGTCATTAACAGATACTAGATCAACAAACTAAAAGATTCCATTGGAGAAGGAAAGGGCAACCTACTCCAGTGTTCTTGCCTCAGAAATCCCACGGACAGAGGAGCCTGGCGGGCTACAGTCCATGGGGTCACAAAGAGTCAGACACGACTGAGTGAATGATCACACAATGTATCTCAGGCTAAGACGCTATGGATGCCTATGATTTCTGTAGCTCATTTTAAATCATGCCTTTAATAAATTCTCAAAGCCCATAATTCTTCACAATCTATATGTTATAAAAAGAAAAAATTAATTTAAAATACTCCTAAGCAAAATAAGGTAAAATGTTCTGAGAGCTGGTTCTCAGGCAGAGTTCCAAAGGAGGTAACCTGGGGGCACCTCCCCATCCATGTCCAACACCTCCAAGCACCTTAGGTTCTACATGTCCCCCATTTCTATATGCAGATAGTGACTGATCCCAGAGGGCCGGCCTGGGAGGACACAAGGTGCCTGGAAATGAGGAGTCATCCTGGAGACTGTAACAACCTATCTGGAAGGGCAAATGCATGGCATGTGGGGTCTCTGGTGCACTTTTTCTGTTGCATCAGGACTCCTTCCCACTCCCTCACACCTGTGTCCACCTGCAGGCCAACTGTGAAGTCTCCAAAACCACCACCTCCCATCCCACCTGGAAGCCTCGACTCAGCCAAGTGGGGAGTGTCCTGCAAGTGGACCTGGTGTGATGCTGCTTCCTTCGATCTGTCACCACGTGTCAGGCCTCCCCAGCAGCAGCTCCAGACCACTACTGCTTGCTGCCTTTGGGGGCTGACTGGGCTCAGCCAGGCAGGTCTGCTCTACACGACTTCCACTTGTCTGCGTTCCATTAGTGACTGGGCTGAGCTAGAAGGTCTGGGAAGACCTCCCTTGTCTGGGGCCCTAGCGCTCCCTTGCATGAATTCTCCATGTGACTAGCTGGGATTTCTTCACAGATGGTGGCCTTGGGACAGCCAGACTACTTCCAGGTGAAAGGAGAAACAGCCAGGCCCCTTACGGGTGGGGACTGCCACATCTTATGGGCACATCTGTTTCATTTCATTGGTCAAAGCAAGTCTCTGGGCCACCTAGCCTCTTGGAGATGTGGTAGGCTGATAAAAGAGGAGGGAAGGAATCCGGGGAACCATCTTGGGAGATTCTACCTCGGTACTGCCCAGGGCCAGCATCTGTCTTCCATCCTTCAGTTCAGTTCAGTTCAGTTCAGTCACTCAGTCGTATCTGACTCTTTGCAACCCCATGAACCATAGGACGCCAAGCCTCCCTGTCCATCACCAACTCCTGGAGTATTCTACCCAAACTCATGTTCATTGAGTCGGTGATGCCATCCAGCCATCTCATCCTCTGTTGTCCCCTTCTCCTCCTGCCCTCAATTTTTCCCAGCATCAGGGTCTTTTCAAATGAGTCAGCTCTTCGCATCAGGTGGCCAAAGTATTGGAGTTTCAGCTTCAACATCAGTCCTTCCAATTGAACACCAAGGACTAATCTCCTTTAGGATGGACTGGTTGGATCTCCTTGCAGTCCAAGGGACTCTCAAGAGTCTTCTCCAACACCACAGTTCAAAAGCATCAATTCTTTGGCGCTCAGCTTTCTTTGAGGTCCAACTTTCCATCCTTGGTACTCCGTAAATGCCAAGGAGTGTTGGGTGAATGAGTAAGGAGAATGATAGGGGTCAGCACCTGCCAGGCACTGAGAAGAGTCCATCTTTTTTGTTTTTAGTGGCGAAAGCACACAGGACCCAAAAGGGTCTGTGAGCTCTACAGATGTTAGAGGTCTTGAGCCCAGATGATGTTGTCAGTTGGCTATGAACCTACATAATTCATATTTTTCCCTGCTCTCATTTCCTGTCCTACACAACATTTGTCACAAAGAAAACTGCCCATCATTTTTTTACCTTGACTTGATCAGTAAATAAGACTTTCCTCTTTATAAACTCTCTTCTAGATGTTAGGAAGTAAGAGAACAGGGACCAAAAAGGCACATTTAAGGGTGGTTACATGTTTCCATCTAACCAATCCACTTCAATTCTGGCCTCAGAATTTCAAGGACGTAGCTGAGAATCTTAGGTTCGCTTGTTGGTTTTCCCATAAGTCTTGAAGGCAAAGAAACCAGCTCAATTCAAATCAAAGCATCCCCAACACCTCACACTGTCAGGAACAAATCAGGAACTCAACATACGACATTTTCACAGAATTTATAAATGTGCGGCGTTACAAGTATGAAAGAGTTGTGGTTCACACTTTTCTCCCCTCGGGGCCTGTCTATGAACCCACCCATTCTATTTCTCTGGTCCTGAGTAACCTGGGATGTGACGCTCTGTTATCTCCAATTTGTTGTTGTTGTTCAGTGGCTGTCGTGTCCAACTCTTTGCGAACCCTTGGACTGCAGCCCGCCAGGCTTCCCTGTCCTTCATTATCTCCCAGAGTTTGCTCAAATTCATGTCCATTGAGTTGGTGATATCCAACCGCCTCATCCTCTGTCGTCCCCTCCTGCTGCCCTCAATCTTCCCCAGCATCAGGGTCTTTTCCAATGAGTCAGCTCTTCCCATCAGGTGGTCAAAGTATTGGAGCTTCAGCAACAGTCTTTCCAATGAATAATCAGGACTGATTTCCTTTAGGATTGACTGACTGGATCTCC